CTCCTAGTAGCGATGCCCTTTGCTCCTAGTAGCGAACCTTGCTCCTACTCTTTCAAGTCCTTCAAGGATCTGATGTGTGGCACTCGACCTTTCCGCAGTCTCTCTCGAATGCACTTTTCCATCTTTCCGGGAGCGTCTTTCATGCAGAATACAACGGAGAAGAACGCTTGGTGCAACAATGACACCAGGAGGCTTGTAGCATAGTGTCAGGTCTTCAGTCTTCGAAATTCCTCTCATTGGGAGAACAAGTGGTCAAGATACTCAAACAAAAGGCAAGTGGCTTCATTTGTCGCTGAGCTGTGTAAGTTTGGAACATCTTCAAATATCGCATTAGCTCGCAGAAGTGTTCATGTCAATTATAGATGTGGGTTTTTGGCACAATTTCTTCGTGTGACACAAAGGTTATGTAACCGCCCAAATTGTTGGAAAACAGCAAGATAAACCCTTTTTTGCAATCAAGTTTCTAATTGAATTGTGCCCTAGATAGCTTGGTCTATTTCTACCTCCTCCTTTGCTACCTCTCGCCCTTTCCTGTTCCTTACCGTCAATGGAGTTCCTATATACCTCCAAACTAAGGAGCTATCATTACATCGAAAACAACCGGCATTGAATTGGATACATTGCTTGGACCAGCGTTGTTACAATGGAAGCCACCCAGGATGCCAAATACTGAGTGATTTCAACATCTCGAGTGACTCGTTTGTTGCTGTGTTTTCTGCAGTACCCCTTTCTCAACCTGTATCGACTTTCACTTCTGGCCAGCTCACAGCAACTACAGGAACTTATAGAACACAAGTATTGGCGCTGTCTCATGCTGCATTTCCTAACACGTTTCAGACCGTCAAAGTCAACAGGGGCGCACAGCCTCCGTAATCCCCCTTGTAGCGTCCTTGCTCCTAGTAGCCTAGTAGCGTCTTTGCTCCTAGTAGTAAGGCCAGGAGCCCCTAGTAGCGTCCTTGCTCCCAGTAATAAGGCCAGGAGCCCCTAGTAGCATCCTTGCTCCTAGTAGTAAGGCAGGAGCCCCCAGTAGCGTCCTTGCTCCCAGTAATAAGGCCAGGAGCCCCTAGTAGCGTCCTTGCTCCTAGTAGTAAGGCCAGGAGCCCCCAGTAGCGCCCTTGCGCCTGCCAGGCCAGGAGCCCCTAGTAGCGTCTTTGCTCCTAGTAGTAAGGCCAGGAGCCCCTAGTAGCGTCTTTGCTCCTAGTAGTCAGGCCAGGAGCCCCTATCCTTGCTCCCGGTAATAAGGCCAGGAGCCCCTAGTAGCGTCCTTGCTCCTAGTAGTAAGGCCAGGAGCCCCCAGTAGCGCCCTTGCGCCTGCCAGGCCAGGAGCCCCTAGTAGCGTCTTTGCTCCTAGTAGTAAGGCCAGGAGCCCCTAGTAGCGTCTTTGCTCCTAGTAGTCAGGCCAGGAGCCCCTATCCTTGCTCCCGGTAATAAGGCCAGGAGCCCCTAGTAGCGTCCTTGCTCCTAGTAGTAAGGCCAGGAGCCCCCAGTAGCGCCCTTGCGCCTGCCAGGCCAGGAGCCCCTAGTAGCGTCTTTGCTCCTAGTAGTAAGGCCAGGAGCCCCTAGTAGCGTCTTTGCTCCTAGTAGTCAGGCCAGGAGCCCCTATCCTTGCTCCCGGTAATAAGGCCAGGAGCCCCTAGTAGCGTCCTTGCTCCTAGTAGTAAGGCCAGGAGCCCCCAGTAGCGCCCTTGCGCCTGCCAGGCCAGGAGCCCCTAGTAGCGTCTTTGCTCCTAGTAGTAAGGCCAGGAGCCCCTAGTAGCGTCTTTGCTCCTAGTAGTCAGGCCAGGAGCCCCTATCCTTGCTCCCGGTAATAAGGCCAGGAGCCCCTAGTAGCGTCCTTGCTCCTAGTAGTAAGGCCAGGAGCCCCCAGTAGCGCCCTTGCGCCTGCCAGGCCAGGAGCCCCTAGTAGCGTCTTTGCTCCTAGTAGTAAGGCCAGGAGCCCCTAGTAGCGTCTTTGCTCCTAGTAGTCAGGCCAGGAGCCCCTATCCTTGCTCCCGGTAATAAGGCCAGGAGCCCCTAGTAGCGTCCTTGCTCCTAGTAGTAAGGCCAGGAGCCCCCAGTAGCGCCCTTGCGCCTGCCAGGCCAGGAGCCCCTAGTAGCGTCTTTGCTCCTAGTAGTAAGGCCAGGAGCCCCTAGTAGCGTCTTTGCTCCTAGTAGTCAGGCCAGGAGCCCCTATCCTTGCTCCCGGTAATAAGGCCAGGAGCCCCTAGTAGCGTCCTTGCTCCTAGTAGTAAGGCCAGGAGCCCCCAGTAGCGCCCTTGCGCCTGCCAGGCCAGGAGCCCCTAGTAGCGTCTTTGCTCCTAGTAGTAAGGCCAGGAGCCCCTAGTAGCGTCTTTGCTCCTAGTAGTCAGGCCAGGAGCCCCTATCCTTGCTCCCGGTAATAAGGCCAGGAGCCCCTAGTAGCGTCCTTGCTCCTAGTAGTAAGGCCAGGAGCCCCCAGTAGCGCCCTTGCGCCTGCCAGGCCAGGAGCCCCTAGTAGCGTCTTTGCTCCTAGTAGTAAGGCCAGGAGCCCCTAGTAGCGTCTTTGCTCCTAGTAGTCAGGCCAGGAGCCCCTATCCTTGCTCCCGGTAATAAGGCCAGGAGCCCCTAGTAGCGTCCTTGCTCCTAGTAGTAAGGCCAGGAGCCCCCAGTAGCGCCCTTGCGCCTGCCAGGCCAGGAGCCCCTAGTAGCGTCTTTGCTCCTAGTAGTAAGGCCAGGAGCCCCTAGTAGCGTCTTTGCTCCTAGTAGTCAGGCCAGGAGCCCCTATCCTTGCTCCCGGTAATAAGGCCAGGAGCCCCTAGTAGCGTCCTTGCTCCTAGTAGTAAGGCCAGGAGCCCCCAGTAGCGCCCTTGCGCCTGCCAGGCCAGGAGCCCCTAGTAGCGTCTTTGCTCCTAGTAGTAAGGCCAGGAGCCCCTAGTAGCGTCTTTGCTCCTAGTAGTCAGGCCAGGAGCCCCTATCCTTGCTCCCGGTAATAAGGCCAGGAGCCCCTAGTAGCGTCCTTGCTCCTAGTAGTAAGGCCAGGAGCCCCCAGTAGCGCCCTTGCGCCTGCCAGGCCAGGAGCCCCTAGTAGCGTCTTTGCTCCTAGTAGTAAGGCCAGGAGCCCCTAGTAGCGTCTTTGCTCCTAGTAGTCAGGCCAGGAGCCCCTATCCTTGCTCCCGGTAATAAGGCCAGGAGCCCCTAGTAGCGTCCTTGCTCCTAGTAGTAAGGCCAGGAGCCCCCAGTAGCGCCCTTGCGCCTAGTAGTCGCCGGTAGCAAGGCCAGGAGCCCCTAGTAGCGTCTTTGCTCCTAGTAGCAAGGCCAGGGGCCCCTAGTAGCGTCTTTGCTCCTAGTAGTAAGGCCAGGAGCCCCTAGTAGCATCTTTGCTCCTAGTAGTAAGGTCAGGAGCCCCCAGTAGCGCCCTTGCACCTAGTAGTCGCCGGTAGCAAGGCTAGGAGCCCCTAGTAGCGTCTTTGCTCCCAGTAATAAGGCCAGGAGCCCCTAGTAGTACGGCCAGGAGCCCCTAGTAGCGTCCTTGTTCCTAGTAGTAAGGCCAGGATCCCCTAGTACCGTCCTTGCTCCTAGTAGTAGGGCCAGGAGCCCCTAGTACCGTTCTTGCTCCTAGTAGTAAGGCCAGGAGTCCCTAGTAGCGTCTTTGCTCCTAGTAGAAAGGCCAGGAGCCCCTAGTAGCGTCCTTGCTCCTAGTAGTCAGGCCAGGAGCCCCCAGTACCGTCCTTGCTCCTAGTAGCAAGGCCAGGAGCTCCTAGTAGCGTCCTTGCTCCTAGTAGTAAGGCCAGGAGCCCCTAGTAGCGTCCTTGCTCCTAGTCTTGGAGTAGTAAGGCCAGGAGCACCTAGTAGCGTCTTTGCTTCTAGTAGTAAGGCCAGGAGGGTTTCAATCTTGTCATTTGGTCTCCACTGTGGCCCGAGTTTACACGCGTCCACTTGCAACGTTTATGTGCCCCAGGTTTGCGATGTACAGCTCATGGGTGCCTTTAGCTTGGTGTCCTTCATATCCCTCTCACAAATTGTTTGTTTTACAATAGATCTTGGCTTTCAAGTCCTATCATTTCTCCTTTTTTGCCTACATTGGTGCCGCACGGGCTGGATGGTGGTTCACACTGCCCTTCCTTTCATGAGATTGCGTGTGTGTGTGTTGGCGTGTGGGTGTATTGTAAACTTGGAATGCACTGAGCAGGGGGGGCACAGGAAGCCCATAGAGCCCTGTCGAACGAACCCATACCCCTGACTAGGCACACACAGGTCAGCAGAGCTCCAAAAGTGCGAGTAAAGTCTAACGCATCTTGGTTTGCTCTGGAAAGGTGCGCAAGGTACACCCCTCTAGAGGCTGCTTGAAAGTCCTGGCAAAAGGTTAGTTCTCCATCTCGACTTTCTACATTACAAGGCTAGCTGCTAACTTGTATGAACCGTGGGATTTACTGAAGCTCAGCGAGCAACGCCTCAATTCCTGACATGTAAAATACTCCGCAAAGACTTTGTTACTGTCTCTAGCCAACAGCTTTCGCGGGAAGTTCTTGACACTCAGCTCATTTTCATCATAAATAGTGCTCCAAACTGCTTGCCAACTCCGCTAAAGCGAATCAGCTGGACTGGGCTGGCAATGAGCGATCCACGCCATTTCTACACAAGTTATTTGTGTGTCTCTTGAAGCAGATGTTTGCACACTTTGCCATGTCTCTGCAACTGCTCTTTCAACACTGAACTGCACTTTCAAAAAAAAACCTGTGGGTAAAAGTGAAGCTAAGCTCAACAATATCGATTCTGTTTTGGCACAGCCCAGAACTCGTCAAGCCAATTGGTGACTTGTTACCGAGTCCTAAGTCCGGGCCCACGGGACCTAAGGCGCGCCTACGCGGACGATCGCCGGTCACTGATGCGACGGACGCGGGCACAGGATGTGCCGCCGCTGATGCGTTCTTCGCCGCCACGCCTCACAATTTGCTGGTCAGCATCAAGACTGCGACGTCCACTCAGGTCGCGTGGGTTAGGCATTAGGGTAGAACCAGAATTGGGCATGGGGGAATGTCTTCTTTCTGTCTGGGGTAGTTTGGAAGGGATGAAGAAGGAAAAGGGTCTAAAGGTCTGACGAAAGAGAATAGGTAAGTCAAAAAGGACACGAGAAAGACATGAGGAAAATAGCATGACCAAGATCCAATCCGGAAATATATTGCGCAGTAAAGAAACGACTTGCAAAAAGTATTGGACGCCATCTTCCAAACTACACCCCCGGGGTTCGACCATTTGGAGAGGCAAAAGCGCAGGTTTGCTCCCTTGTATCTGTTGAAAAATCCTTCAGATCTACAAATCTGAAATCCAATTTCAACTCTGAGCTCCGCCAAGCACCCTTTTCCCTCGCTGGGAACCATGGTGCGATACATTGTGTCAGCACCGCGAATGGCATGTGGTTCAACCAGCATGCCAGCATTCCAGGAGTACCTTGTCTTCAGTCTTCCGTGGAGACCGTCAAGCTCACCTGGCCCAGCATGTCATGCCGGGGTGAAGAAGTCGCTCATCTGAATCTGGAAAAGTATCGGGCAAGCTTCCTCTGTTTCCTGCGCACAAAGTATAGAAAATGCAGGTCTTCAGAATGAAAGTAGAAACCCGATTCTCGAATAGAAACAGATTGAACATAGTGCCTTTCCACCTTTAGAACAGATCTATTGAGCATGTCGGTGTCTTATTTATCAGCACTACACCTACTAAGAGAATGAATTACCTCATACTGGTCCCTTACTTCTACTAAGAATGATAGTATGTATATATATATATAGAGAGAGATTATATTATATGTCTGTTTCTGTAGACGTTTAGAATCCTTTAGACCTGTCCTTTCTGCTTTACTCAATTCACTCTTGCACTCGAAAGTGGCTAATTAGCTTTGGGCACCTCAGTCCTGCTCTGTGCAATCGGATCCATGGCATTCATTGCTAGATGTCTCCGTAACAACCAGTCCCTTGAGGAGAGTTCACAAACAAAAGGAATAGAACAGGTCTATCCAAACAGTTCCCATCCAAACATGTTGAATCTGTCTTTAACCTAAAACTAGAAACCAAAACATTATAAGCTACCCTTCGGATGTACAAACTTGGGAGAAATGCAATGAAGTTTTATGGGACCTGTCGAATGAATACAAAGAAACAACTTCAATCTTGCCGAATTTGCACGAGGCGCTTGATTGCTATGTTCAGCTTCCTGTTTCCTTGAGTCCAAACAAGGAAGAAACTGTGTGAAAAGCGAAGAACGGCTAATCAAACAAAGAGGAGGAAAATCTGTAGAGACAAAAGCAATTTCAAAAAAAAAAGGATATCCTGACATAATGAGGACATAAAATGAAAATTACTTCGTTCTGGGCCAAACCAGGGAGCCCCAAACCAGGTTGACCTCCCAGCTAGTCTTTATTCTGTTTATGGTCAGGGTGTCTCAGTTCTGACACAGCCAACAAGAAACCGAAGAAAACAAAACTGATCGCTCAACTCAGGGCTCATGTCAAGAGCAACCACTTTGCCCGCCAGAAGGCTTTGAGATTGAAGCGGATCAAGCAGCTGAACCCGCTCAACGAAGGTGTCACCTCAATCTGCCAACAGCGTCACCACATCTTCCTTTTCCTCGCTGTTTTCAGAGCGTGTCACCCTTAATATTCTTTCTCGAGGTTGTTGGTTCCGCGACTGCTTCTTTCAAGAGTTCGCGTTCAATCATCCTGTTCCTGTCTTCTGGAGCCAAGCAGCAAGACGTTCCAGAAGCAAAGGCATTCACATGGTCTTGAATCCAGCAAAAAAGGGTTTGGCGAGTGTCTGGCTGCACCCACTCCAATAGATTTGGTAAAATCGAAGACTTCTCTTCCTTGTCGAAATTGAACTCCACGGAATAGATCCGAAAACCATCCTCAAAACGAGGATTCTGTACTCGTCCATTTCCAACTGTTCAATTGAAGGGACAACTCATGGATCAAATCTGAGACAGCTTTCTTAAAACGCACCTTCAATCTTTTGGCAAGTGTCGTGGACACTTGTGGCATCGATCATGAACTTGACATTCTGAAGTCCCTTCAGTGATTTCCACCCCACCTCTGCAAAGCTCGAAAGTTCACTTCAGAAACCCTGAATAAATCTCAAGAACGTGCAAAGCTACTGGCATGCCAAACTTAACTCTGAATGTGTCTGTGAAACCTTCTTGCTGCAAGATTCTTGCTCTGATGTTTTGTCGTTTCAAAGGCGGTTCCTCAGCTCGTCTTACAAACCGGATTTCCTTTGTGCGTCTTCGCCTCAGATGTTCTGCTACGTGGGGCACTCCGGGTGCCACTCTTTTGCTCCTCCTGCCACAGCAAAGGTACCCCTATTGTGGCTCATTTCTAGTAGGTTGAGGCCGTCGCTACTAGGTTGGAGGCCATCGCTACTAGGTTGGAGGCCATCGCTACTAGGTTGGAGGCCATCGCTACTGGGTTGGAGGCCGTCGCTACTAGGTTGGAGGCCATCGCTACTAGGTTGGAGGCCATCGCTACTAGGTTGGAGGCCATCGCTACTAGGTTGGAGGCCATCGCTACTAGGTTG